CTTCCTCATTTCACTCTCTCCCTCACCAACCCCAGGCTGACACACAGTGGCCAAAACCCATCACAGAAGGTGACTCAGCGAGGAGACACCCAGCAGCAACCCAAGGCTTTGGGTGCTGTTACCATCCAAGAATCCCCACCCAAGAAACCATGGCAGGATCGTGCCCATGGTCCTCACTGGCTGCAGCACTTGAGGTCCCATCACCAAAGGAACATTTCCATTGCTTAAAGGAACATTTTTCCTGCATGCACCAAGGTTGGTTGGGATGGTCCTGGCCATGGCTCACCTCCACCCTTTGCACTTGGGAGTAGATGGTGTGCACCATGTCGTCCTCGGCGAGCGGTGAGTGAGAGTGCTGCTGGTGGGCTGTGAGGTGATAAAGCAAGTCATGGAGCTGTGAGAGGAGCAGGGACCGAGGAGATCCCAACAGTTTGCAAGTCACATCCTTCTCCTGCACCCCAAGGCACAGCGAGGGATGGATCTGTGATGGATCCATCCCTGGCACGGTGCATGCTGGTTAGACCCGGTTGCATCCCTATGGCTGCAGCTGCCCAGCTGTGGTGGGAGGATTTTTGGTTGTCACAGCCCAGATTTGCAAATTTGTCACTAATCATGGAAGGGGAGCAGGGGCACGGCCAGGCTGAGGCACTCAGAGAGATGATGTTCTCTCATCTTCAACCTGGGACCATCCAGTTCCCCTTGAGATGGTGCAAGATGATCTCAGAAGCCCATCACGCAGGTAAAGTGTTGGTGATCACGTGCAGGTGTATTTCTGGGGGGGTTTTTTGATGTTGGGGTTTATTTTTGAAGCTGGTGTTCTTCAAGAGAAACACATTTTCCTCCTTCTCAAGCCACTCTCAACACAAGGTGTCCATGGGGATCAACCCCTTGGTCCATTCACTGGAGCTGGCTGGGGTCAATGTCTGTCCTACTCCTCCTCAACAAGGTTCAACCCACCCACGGACCACCAACCACCCCAGCACCCCTCCCTCACAGCACTCACCCATGCACGTGGCCAAGCGGGTGGCCGTGATGACCCCGATGAGCACCAGGACTGTGATGATGGACACCACCACCACCACCAGCTCTGTCCTCAGCCTGGCGCTGCCTGGGATGGAGGGCAGATAGAGGAGAAGGTCAATCACCAGCCCTGGGTGACCCAGATCTGAGCAAAAAACTGGCTGCTAAAACCTTTCTTCATCTTGTCACCTAATTTTAGGGTGATGTTTTTTGGTAGAACAGGAAACGAGAAGCAGGAAATGCTTCTCTTGAGCAGAGCTCTCTCTAATCACCTCCAGACTGCAGCACTGAGCAAAAATAAACCTGCTGGGAAGCAGATTGGGGCCAGATAAAGCCCTAAAAACTTCTCTGGTGGCTTTACAGAAGGTTGTGGGATGGCAACCCCTTGGTACAACACCTTTGCATCACAAGGGTGTGAGGAGAAGACCCTTGGACAGAGCTCTGCAGCTCCAGCCAGGCTCCCACCACAGGGATGCACCTCATCCTGGACCACTAATGGTGACACCATGGAGGGTTGTCCCACAATGCAAGAAGTTTTTGGGGCAAGGAGGTGAGAAATAAGCCTTGAAACCACCTTGGAACATCTCATTTCAACATCTCTCTTTCCTAAGAATCCCGATTGTTTTGCCCATGGGGATGATTTCTCAGCACAGATCACTGTGAGAGCCCCAGCAGAGATGTGACTTCATCTCCAGGTCCCCTGGGAGAGGGGTAGCCACCACGATGGCCAACCCTAGTGAAAGTCCCCCCATGTCACGAGGGAGCCCTTGAAAATCCCAGTGAGAGAGAGCGTGACTTTTACCCCGAGAACCTCTAAAGGGGAAGTTGTCACCAAGGTTTTTATTGTCCCCAAAACCACCCGGCGTGAGACTCTCATGCATTTAAAATGAGCTTCGAGCAGCGAGGTGTGGCGTGTGGGCAGGTGGGATGGGGTGGGAGGTGGGACCCACAGCTCCACAGATGACATTTACGAGAAGAACTGGGCAACCTTGAGCAGCAGCTACTTTTCTTGCATAAAGCTCCATTGAAGCCACCTAAAGCAACATGGAAAAGTCCCCTTCCAAAGCAAAAGTAGGACTGGGAGGTTGGAGAAGATGGGTCAGTAACTTTGGACTTACCCCCTTGCTCGTAGCTGCACTTGGAGGAGTTGAAGGGGACAACCCAGCTGCTGACGGCATTGCTGACCGTGCAGGAGCAGGAGATGCTTGTGTTCTGCAAGGGGTAGGAGAGGTGCAAAAGGCTGCCGTTGTGGGAGCAGAACCCCATGGTGTTGGTGTCCTGGCTGCCCCAACTGTAGGAGATGTTGTCCCCTCGTTCTGCTGTGCAGTTGAGGGTGATGGTACAACTGTTGTTGGCCAACGCCCAGTTGAGGATGTGGATGCTGGGATCAGACACTGGTTCTGGAGAGAGGGAGGGAAAAGGAAGAAGTTTGTGTCTAGAGAGAAGAGTGTGAATGTTGCCTTGGTCCCTGCCTGGAAAATCCTGCTGGCCTCTCCTAAACCCCCAGGAGATGGAGAGGAACCATTGTGGCCCTGGACCTGCTGCAAATGGCGTTAGAGAGGAACATGGTCTGTGTTCACCCAATGGCTCCTGGAGAACTCAGATGGGGCTGCAAAAGGATCTCCTGGACTCATTACAGCACCTTGACATCAGGGTGAGCATCTCCCACCTCAGTTGACCACCACCCACCACCCAGATCTGCTGCCAGCACCTCAGGAGGCTGGGAGCATCCAGCACGGTCCTCCCAAAGCAACGTGTCTCACCGTACACCTCCAGCTGTATCTGCCAGACCTTCTCCTCCGGCCCTTTGCTGACTATGTACTCGTAGAGCTGCCCATCCTGCCGGCTGGTGTTCAGGATCTCCAGGGAGAAGTCCGACTTGTGGAAACGAGTTCTTCCCTCCATGTAGTTGGTGTAGTTACCATCTGAATACTTGAGCAGGACAAGTTTCCTCTGTGGATCTTCTGTGTCCCGCTTCCAAACGGCCTCCCCGAAGCGCAGGGTGAGGTCCTGGAGTTCCTCAGGGATCTGCAATATGGTCACCTTCCCCAAGGTGCCCAGCACTGTCTCCCTCACCCCACAACCCATGCCTGGGAGGAGAAAGGAGAGGAGAGGAGGGCTGAGACAAGCAGGGTGACATGGTGACCATCCTTCCATCCCAGCTCTGCCTGTGAAGCTCTGGTAGCTGGTGACAGTGTTGGACCCACCATGATAATCCACAGCCTGGGGACAGCTTGGATGGAGTGAGGTCAATCCATTAACAATTAAACAGATTATCTAACCAGGTTTTCAAGCTCTGGCTTCTCCACCACACCCATTGCTGGTGGGTGGGAAGATGAGATGCGTTGTGCATCAAGGCTCCATGCGAGCTCTGCCCCATGCCCACCCCATAGGACCATCTCCCCCAGAACCAAAGGAGCAACCCCCAGCTCTCAACCCCACATCCTCAACCCTGAAGGATGTGGGTTGAGGGCTCAGCTCGGGAGCTGGAGGAGAAGTGTTGCCTTCTTCTGGTCTTCCTCCATCAAATCATAGTGGTTGGAAAAGACCTTTAAGATCATTGAGTTCAACCATAAACCCAACACTGCCAATTCCACCTCTAGCCCATGTCCCTCAGCACTTCATCTACCCGTCTTTTAAATCCCACCAGGGATGGTGACTCCACCACCTCCCTGGGCAGCTTGTTCCAATGCTTGGCAACCCTTTGGGTGAAGAAGTTTTACCTCAGGTCCAACCTAAACCTCCCTTGGTGCAACTTGAGGCCATTTCCTCTTCTATCACTATTTGCATCAGCCTTGGTGTTCTCCAACCTTGGAGACCACCATGCCTGGTGACCAAATCCTGATTTAAGGTTTTAGACTTTCTGTTGGTACAACAACAGCCGGTCAACACAGGGAAACATCACCCCATGGAGCAGGGCTGCCTCAAGCAGGGGAAGATGTTTGCTGTCCCACTCTGGTGAGGTTGCTGGTCCTGGGAAAAGGGGACCAGCCTGGAGAAGTCCCGGTGACACCAGGGCAGTCTGGAGGGAAGCAATTCTTGGTAGCTCTACAGTTGAGTGCAGGTCATGGCATCCACCTCCCTCAAGCACCTCAGCTCCAGAAACCTTTGGTGGGGCTTTTAGAAATTGCAGGAAGTAAAACCTCCCAGAGGTGGACTCAGATATAAATCCCAGATTGTCCTTCTCCTGGTTGAGGTGGTCTCAGATATAAATCCCAGATTGTCCTTCTCTTGGTTGAGGTGGTCTCAGGTGTGTTTCTTGGTGACCACAGCAAAATGTTCTTAAAAAGAGGAGTGCAAGCATCTCCCATGCATCCCAAAGCATCTCAACCACATGGATTTCTTGAAGAACACACAAGGAGGATCTTCTCCCCCAAAGCCCTGTCCTGTCTTTCTCTGCGAGGTGGTGACTCATCGTTGCCTGAACCTCCAAGCAAACAAGTTTGTTTTTGTAGGAAACAAGAGTGGGGAGAAGGTGCCAGCTCATCGCTGCTGCCGACAGCGGGAGCGTGGAAGGGACCCCACCGTGTCATCCCCCACATTTCCTACCAACTTCTTTCCATCAAGGTGAGGCTTTGCCCCAGAGGAGAAAAGAAAAGTGGGGGAGGAAGAAGAAGAAGAAGAAGAAGAAGAAGAAGAAGAAGAGGAGATGTGAGGAGGCCCAGCTAAGCCCAGTATCTGCCACTCCTGCAGCACAGACAGTTCCAGTTAAAACCACAGAGCAAACGTTCTCCCCACCTCCAACCCCCACCGGTGCCATCATTTATTTCTCCCCCTCCTTTTGTGACACACCACACAGCAGTTTCTGAGCTGTCCCTGGGGATGACATCTCCCCAACATCGAAGCAACCACGTGGCCATCATCTCACAAACTCCACGGTCCAGCTGAGCTGGTGCCTCATCCATCTTCTGCTGATGTATTTACTGTAAAGCCCAGCATGGTTTTGACACCCAGCAGTGAAGCTCCTCGTTAAACACCAAATGGAAAAGCCCTTTTTACATCATCTTAGAAAAACCCTCTGCCCTGGTGAGGAACATCTCCTTTATGGAGAAGACCACTCAACTAGACCAAGGTTGTAGGAGAAAGGATGGGAAAAGGTCTGAAACCATCTGTGCTGAAGGGGTTGGAGGAAGACAGGAGATCCACACCGGCACGGCAGATCTGGAGTAACCCTCACATCAAGTGTTGGGCTTGTGGGACTTTTGGTGTCCTGGTGAAGCAGAAAACCCCCAGGGGGATTTTAAATGCAGGTGTTCTAGTAAGAAGGAGCCAACAAAGCTGAGGAGAAACTCCAGCTCGGCCAAAGTCTCTGGTTTCTTGGACAAACCTTCATTATACACCTGGTAATTACACAGATGCAGCAGCCAAGGACTCATGGGGCTACAGGGATGTAGAGTGTCCCCAGGGAAGGGACATCAGGGTGACCAAGAAGAGGGTCAGGATTAGTCATAGAATCACAGAATCATAGAACATTAAGGATTGGAAGTGACCTTGAAAGATCATCCAGCCCAACCCTCCTGTCAGAGCAGGATCACCGAGAGTAGGTCACACAGGAACACATCCAGGTGGGTTTGGAATGTCTCCAGAGATGGAGACTCCACAACCTTTCTGGGCAGCCTATCCCAGTCATGGCTCCTTTTGCTCAGCAACAACTAAGACCATCGGTGTGTTATCAACATTCTTCTCATACCAAATCCCACCCTAAATCCAAAACATGGAACTATTCAAGCTACGGAGAAGAACATTTGCTCTATCCCAACCAAAACCAGGACAACCACCCAAATTTATTTTGTAGCATCCTCTTGTCACTGCTGACAGGCTTGGAGGAGAAGACCCAGGAGCCCCAGTTGGTCTGGGTGGTCTTCACAGAGGGAATTTTGTCTCATCCAGGATACCATCATCCCCAGGACACCATCCATAGCTGGCCAGGGCTCTCCAGACCACCAGAAAACAGTCATTGTCCCACTGCCAGTCCCTTTCCATGAGCTTTATACACATTTTATTCCTCGGGTACCATCTCCCATCCCACCAGCACCTCTTGATCTGAGACACTGAGTATCAAAGAGTGAGACAATCCACCAAGAACCTTCATCTCAACTGTCCCAGTTCCCATCTGGTATTAAATCATTTGCTCAGTGCCACTAATACTCCATTAAAACATGGTAGAGCTTCACCATCGTGGTTACACTTTGTCCATCACCATCTTTCTTCATTCATCATTTTCATTCTCTTCTCCCTCAACATGACTAGTAAGAACATCTTAGGGTTCCACCACACATCCAGCTTGGATTTCTGAGCTCTTTATCTTCTATATGAATATTTCGACTCGATCTACCCCAGCACACTGCTCGTGACTTCAAAAATATCTTCATAAAGATCTCAAAGATCTCAAAGATCTTCATATCTGACCCCCCCAAAATCCCCAGAACATTCCAAACTGATTATTTCAAGGAAAGGACAAACATACGTACCCCAAAGACGACTGAGAGAGATGATCAGCAGCCAGAGACACGCGCTGCAGCCCATGCCGTGCTTCATGGAGCTTCTGCTGCTGTGGAGTTGAGATCTTCTGCCGAGCTGGTTATAAAACCAGGTGATCTCAAATCAGAGCCGCTACCCTGGGCCATGTGTTTCCTGTTTTTTGGGGGGCTGAATAATTCTTTTTCTTTCTTAATTTCTTGTTGGTTTTGTTGTTTTTTTTCTTGAGTGGAAAGTATTCAAAGCACCCAGTTGTCTTGTTGAATGTTCCACCAGAGAACCAACCCAAGAGACCTACCAAGAAGGAAACAGAGCATCAGTTTCTAGTTGGGACCAGAACTACATCATCCTGCTCTGGGTCTTTAACTTGAGTTTAGAAGAAGAGGAAACAACCAGTAAGAAAATCATTTCACGTACGGTAACAACTTCCCGGGGTTGTACACAACCTTCAAACCCTGTCACCACAGCGAGGGTGGAGGCGGGTGACATCCCAACCGCTGCTGCTCCAGCCCAGTGCCATTGGGGCTGAAAACCAGCATGAAACTCAGTGTGCACCAGAACTCATGGCCACGATGGCCACCAGTGCTGGAAAAACCCAAATATTCTGGAATTAACACATATCCTTGTGTTGGGGTGGGATCTACAGTGAGGAGGATATGGGTGGTCTTTAAGAACCCACCAAGGAAGGGTGGGTTTGGAGATGATCTGGGCTTCATAGAATCATGGAATGGTTTGGGTTGGAAGGGACCTTAAAGATCATCCAGTTCCAACCCCCTGCCATCAGCAGGGACACCTTCCACTAGACCAGGTTGCTCAAAGCCTCATCCAACCTGGCCTCCAACACTTCCAGGGAGGAGCAGCCACAGCTTCTCTGGCCAACCTGGGACACTGTCTCACCACCCTTACAGCCAAGAATTTCTTCCTCACATCTCACCTCATCTCCCCTCTTTTGATATCATATCATAGAATCCCAGACTGGTTTGGGTGGGATGGGATCTCAAAGCTCATCCAGTCCCAACCCCCCTGCCATCAGCAGGGACACCTTCCACTAGACCAGGTTGCTCAAAGCCTCATCCAACCTGGCCTTCAACACTTCAATTTGTTCTTATTCAACACCATCCCCATAGCAAGTGCCCAGGGATGGGTCCCCCCTCCTTCGAGTGACCCTCTGGGTAGGGATAGGAGCAAGTACCACAACCTCCCACCCTCAGTGGAGAACCAAGGATGGAGGAAACCACTGCTCACTTGTTCCTCTGGTGGGAAGAGGTGAGAAATCTTGTTTTGGTGTCTCCAGTGGAATGAATTATTCAGCCCTGTCAGTTCTCAGCCTTCAAATAGGAGAATAATTCATTTTCCTTTCTTCTTTCTTCAACATCTTGTCTCTTTTCTTCTACTTTTCAGAAGACAGTAGAGATGACAACGTGAGGTGAGAACCCCTCAGCTGCTTTAAACCAAATCTGAATGCTCCAAAGAAATAAAACTTGAACTTAACATCCCACCACTTTTTGGTGGACACGAGCTCCAGGACCTCCAGGAGGTTTTTTTGCTGATACAATTTTTTTTGCTAAAGATAAAACAAAAAAGTCTAAAACCCACATTAAATGGACCCTGGTGGACATCCATAAACCACCAGGATGTCCCACGAGGCTGCTCAGAAAGCATCTGGCTGAGAAGAAAAATAATTAAAAATTAAAAAACCCACCCAAAACCCAAGTCATTTCCCAATAATCACCAGATGATGGAAGTGAAGAGCTCAGCTGAGAAGTTAAATAAATAAAAGAGGAGTAAGAGGAGGACTCGGGACCTTTTCTCCACCAGCTTGGTCCTCCAGGCAGGGCAGCAGGATTTAAACTGGTTCTAAAGAAAATTTTGGTGGAAAGAAATCTGGAAGAAGTTTTTGATGCTGAGGATGGTGAGATACTGGCCCAGGTTGCTCAAAGAGGTGGTAGAAGCTCCATCCCTGGAGATATTCAAGGTCAGGTTGGATGGGGCTCTGAGCAACCTGATCTGGTTGAAGATGTCCCCATTCATGGAAGAGGGTTGGACTGGATGAGCTTTAAAGGTCCCTTCCAACTCAAAGGTCCCTTCTATGATCTGGTTGAAGATGTCCCCGCTCACTGCAAGGAGATTGGATGAGATGAGATTTAAAGGTCTCTTCCAACCCAAACCATTCCATGATTCTATGGTCCCCAACCCTCCCCTTTGCCACAGAGAGATATCTCACACTTGGGTACAGGTTGATGCAGCTTGGAGAAGACCATTGACCACAAATTGGTCAAGGAAAGCCATAAAACTCCAATATACTCATGGGGCACTACCACAGCAGCATGTCCCAGGTTGAGGTGGCACGTGGGAAATGGGAAAAATCATGGAACAAGCAAAACCATTGAGAAAAATTCCATCCAGAAAGAAGCCTGGAGAAGAAAAACCACACAAGTAGTCATGGAGAAACCTTCTAAACCTTCTTCAACCAAAAATAATGATCTGAAGTGTCTTCACTTCCCCCATCAGCTCAAGCTGAAGTCTCCTGGCTGGAAAGATGACCGAGACACTGCCCCAGGCTCCATATTTATTCATCCCAAGAGGTTTTATGATGATGCTGGTGCCCAGTGGTCATCCTGGATTGTGTAGGAGATAGAAGAACCCCAAAAACCTCCACATGGGAGCGGACCAAGACCAAAGCAAATATCTTCTGCAAAAATATATATTGGTGCTATAAACCCATCAACCACCTGGTATGAATTACCACCAAGAACCTCATTAGATCCAAGAACTGGAACAACTCATGCTCGTTATTAGTTTTTCAAACAAGCTGGTGAGGACCTTGTTGACCCTTTGATGAATCTGGTCTTCAAAGTGTTTGGTTAAAAATGGGAAGTCATGTCTTTTGGGTTTTATGGAGGGTAGAGACAGTTCTCCCCTTTCTTGGAGTTGTTTGTTGGAGCTGGGAGGAGCAGCAGTATCCCAGGACTGTGGTGGCCCTGAGAGATGTCCCCATCCCTCCTCACAGGCTGAGGGACTGTCTCCATCACTCACAAGACACATCCTCCCACCCCAACAGGCCCATGTCCCACCATCCCAAGCCAACTCCTCCCATGGGGGACAACAATGGAAGGGGTCCTGTCCCCAGCAAGGGTTTTGGGGTAGGCAAACATGGCTTCCTCCATCATTCTCCCCCCTGGTCTCCAAGCACCAGCTGTGGTTGACCCCAGCCCAGAGGAGAAGGTAGAACAGGCACCTAAAAATGTGAGTTTAAGATTAAAATTAATTTAATTTATAGACAGAGACATTTCTGCACCCATGTTGGTGTCACCAGTTTCAGGCTAAACTGTCCCACTGTCCCACTGTCCATCAAGAGTTGGACTTGATGATCCTTGTGGGTCTTTTCCAACTCACAACATTCAATGATTCTATGATTGGTCCCATAAAGGACATTGCCAACAGCAGGTGATGGCCAAGGATGTCCCAAGTCCACGGGGAGACCCAGGAGAGATTCAGATTGGGTCTCCCCTAACCCCAGATCTCAAGGCTGAGGAGAGGAGGATTTCCAAGCAGTCAACCATGAGTTTAGCAGTTTAGGTTGCCAGGGTTCTCAGAAGAACATTGACACAGAGTTCATCACCGTTTTGTTCAGATCTGGAGAAGGTGACCTCTGATTAAAGCAAAGCCCACACTTGGTTTGTTCAGCCTGGAGAAGAGGAGACTGAGAGGAGATCTCCTGGGGGTCTAGAACTTCCTCCCAAGGGGAAGAGGAGGGGCAGGCGCTGATCTCTTCTCTCTGGCCACCAACGAATGCCAGGAGCAGAGGGAATGGCAGGAAGATGTGGCAGGGGAGGGTGAGGTTGGCCATGAGGAGACGGTTCTTGAGGCAGAGGGTGGTGGAGCACTGGAACAGGCTCCCCAGGGAGGTGCTCATGGCACCAAGCCTGACAAGATTCCAGCAGCATTTGGCCAAGGCCCTGAGGGACATGGTGTGAATGTTGGGATTGTCCTGTGCAGGGACAGGAGTTGGATCCATCATCCTCCATCATCCTGGTGGGTCCAATTCCCATCATCCTGGTGGGTCCAGCTGACAACATTTGATGATTCTATAAAAGCAGAAAAAGTGAGGAGGGAAACTGAGGCACAGAGCTACCCTGAAGGCAGCAACAGAGCAACCAGAGCCTGGGCTGGTGGGAAGGAGATGGCTCTTGGATGAGACCAGGTGGGTGCTGGTGGAACAGACACTGGTTGCAACAGTTCCCTTAAGGAATCACATCTTCCTACATCCAGCCAGTTTGGGGACCTCATCCAGGAGCTGATCCAGTGGCAGAGGGTGATGAGATGAGGAGAGATGTCAATGGCAGAACGTGATGAGGAAGAGGATGAGGTGTCCCAGGATCACCAGCATGCTAGTGGTGGTGCAGGATGCTGTGGAGGACTCACCTGGAAGCAGAAGGAGACCATGGCAAGGGATGTGGGCTGTCCAGCCATGTCAGAGGACCCCCAACCCTCTTCCCAGGTGGGCTCCTGTCACCCACCAGCCCACAGACCCATCACCCAATGGCCACCTCCAGCCCTGCAGGGACCTGCTGTCCTCAGGGTCACCACCACTGCTCTGGGGACCCTCCAAAGCCAAGGCCACCTTGCAGCCCACCCCACCTGAGTTTTGCCATCTCATGTGTGCACCACGGGTGGTACCTGTCCAGGAGCAGGGATGCCTGTAGGTCAGCGAGGCGTTGTTGGAGGACACAGGGTTGCTGACTTTGCAGATGTAGGTTTCTACCAAGGGGTTGAAGGAAACATGCTGCTCAGAGGCATCTGCACCCTCCAGCAGGACCCTCCTGGGGGGGATCCACTCGTAGGTCACCCCTTCGATCCCCACCGAGCACTGCAGGGTGACTTTGCATCGCGTTGGGTCATCCCTGATCACTTTGGCACTCACGATGGGTTTTGGAACCAGATCTACAAGAGGCAGCAAGATGTCACAACCTCCCTGTCCCTCCATGAGACACTAGGACAACCCTCCCATCCTCCCAGCTCACCATACACGGTCAGGAGGATGCTTTCAACGTGCTCCTTGCCCATCTCATCCTCCAGGTACACCTGGTAGGTGCTGCTGTCGTTCTTCTGCAGGTAGCTGATTTTGAGGGTGAAGTTGGGGAAGAGCTCCAGACGTCCCTTGTAGGTACTGCTGGGATATTGGACCTTCATCTCGTTGTCCCAGCTAGCGATCTTCACCAAGTTGTTACGTCTCCAGTGGATTTGGTGATAGGACATGTGGTTTTGGAGGCTGGGACTGAGATAAACCACCCCATGAACGGTCCCAACCACCTCTGATGGTGAAACGTATTGTGCCCAGGCTGCCAAGAAAGTGGAGACCTGTGCTGCTTGGTCAGTTGGACTCAACCCACCTCCCCCCTTGGGATTCAAACCCTCTTGAGGGACCTCAATTCCTCCCAGACACGTAGAAGATGCAAAGAACCCATTTGCTCACTAATTCCTAACACCTTTGTGGTCTCTCAACCTCGGAGACATGTTGCAGGGACAGCTCATGGTGGGTCTCCAACTCCACATCCTGAGCATGGGACCACCCAGATCCCCCCCAGTGAAGATGTTTTTGTCTTTACTTTCATTTTTGGGTTCATCTCTCCCCTCCAAGCTCACTCAGAGCAGCTCCTCACCCCCAGCTTGGTGGTTCCCAGGAGAAGGAAGCCATGGGTTGTACCTCAGGCACAGTTCCCAGGATGGGAAAAGCCCAGGGAGAGAGTTGGGACAGGGACACTTTACCCATGGTCACATCCCCAAGGTCCCACACCATCCTACCTTGCATGGTGAAAAAGAGGAACACCGTTGTACACCCCATCACCATCTTATCTCTGTGTCCACACCCGAACCCCATGGTGGCAATCACCCTCACCAAGCAGCTGCTCACAGAGGACCACCACGAGCCTGCAGTCCCCTGTCACTGTCCCTAAACCCAGAGTTGGGGAGGTTCTACAGGAAGAGGTTGGTGGGACGATCATGTGGCTGAGAGACGTCATGAACCCACCACACTTCCTCTTTGGCTTCCAAGAATAAACCACCCGCTTACAGCAACCAGTGAGAAGATGCAGTGGACCTGAGCCTCCCTTGGGGACACCACGCACCCTATGGGCCCTGGAGTGTCACCCCATGGGCCCTGGAGTGTCACCCCACCATCCTGACAGCAAATGAAGTGATCAGAACACAGGGGAGACATCTCCCTCTTACATCTCCTGCAACCAACCTGCAGAATTCCCAGTTTTCCACCTTCAAACCCAGGTCTGTGTCCTCACCAAGGTCTGACCTCTGGATGGGCTCCTTCTCCCAAATATCAAGTGATAGGACAAGAGGGAACGGCCTTAAGTTGGACCAGGGGAGGTTTTGGTTGGATATGAGGGGAAAAGTTCTTCACCCAAAGGGTTCTCAGGCATTGGAAGGGGTTGCCCAGGGAAGTGGTGGAGTCCCCATCCCTGGAGGGATTCAAAGAACTTCTAGATGTGGTACTTGGGGACACGCTTGAGTGGTGAACTTGGCACTGCTGGGTTTACAGTTGGACTAGATGATCATCATGATCTTTTCCAACCAAACGATTCTATGACTCTATGATCAAGCTGGGGCCACCAGTACTGGTATCTGGGATGTTTCCCATGACCCCAGGTTGCATCAGTGGTGGTGGGAAGGAGATGACAGGGGTTGACTGGCTGATGCTGCACCCCCAGCGCACTGACCTCCAACCAGAGCAGATGCTTAAAACCCAAGATTTTAATTACAACTTGGACTCCTTCCTGACAGACATTTCAAGTCCTTTGTTCAGTGCTGGATGAGGGATACGTGGGGCAGAGAAGCCACCACAACCCCCACCACCGTGGTGGGGACAAACAACCACCAGCGTCTTCCCAGGCTCTGCACCAACCGTGAGCGAGAAGCATCGAGGTCAACCCCGACCGTGAACAAAGGACAACGGTGGCACCCGCTGAGCCCTGACCCAGTTTAATTTCAGCCCTGAGTGGTCTCCGTCCATCAGGGAGGAGATCTGATGTCAGCAGGGAGGAGACGTTAGGACAAAGCACGGCTGATGATGTGGTTGGATCACCGGCACCGATCCGGTGACACCGCGGTGCTGGGTACCCACCTCCTGGTCTTCACATTTGATTACAACACTTGGAGAAAGCAGAAGACATGGAAAAGCAAATTTCCCTGGTAGAGGAGCCAAGTGCTGCTTCAGCATTTGTGACGAGCACCACAAATTATCTCCAATATGCAAAAGCATCTCATTAGCATAAATTACAGCGCTGTGGTTTGGGCTGGAGCCTGACGTGCTGATGGATCCTGCACCCCCCAGGTCCTGTGCTGTTGCCTTCAGATGTTTCTGCTCATCAGGACCTGGAATTTTGAGCTGCAAAGGGGGTTGAGATGTGGTTCCTGGTTTAGCTTCAGCTTCCAGGCATTGGGCCAGGACCAGCACCACCTCCCCAGCACCAAAGGATGTCCAACCCCTCCATCCTGCTTGAACTTTTCACCAAAGGATGTCCAACCTCTCCATCCTCCTTGAACTTCTCCCACTGAATTCAGCTCTCCCAAGAAAGCCTCCAAGGCACATCTGGGCTTTGCATCCTTACAAAGAACCCATCTCTGACTCTTTCCATCCCAAGCAAGTCCCTGTCTTTGCCAGGTGAGATCCTGGTGGGTGCTGGAGATCTCTGGGTGCTCCAGGAGAAGAGGTCCATAGCAAAGGAAAGGTTTTCCAAGGCTACTGGTGCACTAGGAGAGGTGGTGGCTGACAGGAGCTGGGGGCAAGGTCTGCACGGGGGGACACCAACGTCTAGGAAGCCCCGTAGCCTGCAAGACAATGAGTAGGGTTTAGCACCCCACGGTCTCAAAAAGCTGATGAGCTTTGGAGATACCCAGGACTCGTCTCCTCACCAGTCTGGTGCCCATTACCTCTACATAGGAGGTGGAAATCAAAGCTGGGTCCAACTTTTTGCTCTTGAGAGAAGGAGACTGTGGAGAAGAGCGAGAACCTGCCGTTAGGTGACATGGGAGCCAGATGATGAACCCAGCACCTGGTTGATGAACCGAGAGGACCCAGGTTTCCATGCTGCTGCAAAGGGGTTGGGGTCTCAATGGGGCAACCTCACCTTCTTGGTGGGATGAACTGTGGAGTAGATGGTGCAGCTTTGGGGCTCCTGAGGGCAGCTGGGTCCCTGCTGAGGAGAAACAATCAAGATGCATCGAGAAAAGTGAAGTTTGGGCAAAAGAGGTGGACTTGGCAGTTGTGATGAATGTATCCAGCCTGGAAGCTGCAGAACCAAGCCCACGGGGCAGCTCCAGTCCCACCCCACCAGCACAGGACAGAACCTACCCGTGTTTTGGGGCAGACAACAGCATAAATGGTGTTTCCCTCCATGGTGGCCTCACTGGTCCCATTCTAGGAGAGAAAACAACTCCAGGCTGGTTAATGGTTGCAACCAGAGGTGATAGACATTCCCAAACAGAGGTCCCATCCCTCCAGGCAGCATGGGGAGGGGACACCCCCAGCACTCACGTGGTCTCGGCTGGTTTGGGCTTTGCCCACCTCCTCATAGACGGTCAGCATCTCCTGGGAGTGCCCTGGAGGAGATTGAAGGGTCAACAGAAGATGGATGATGTGTCAGAGCCCCAAGACTGGAGGGGTTCAGCCCTCAGGCAAAGCAAAGCAGAAGGAGAAAGAGGTCCCTGGGCCAACTGGGAGGTTTTGTTTTGTTGGCATCTGGCAGGGGCTGGGAAGGGACATTCCAGCCCAGACTAAAATGAACATCTGAACTCAAAGAGTCCTCTAGACCCCATGAGATGAGGCCTCCAGGTTTGGGCACTGATGCACCAGTGCTGGGATGCTTCATCTATCTCACCAACCTGGAGACCACCCTGCATCAGCAGAGATGGGCAAAGATCTCATGCCCTGAGCAGCACCTGGCAAGGGGGGTGACAGTGTCCAGTGATGCAGATGTTTCCTCCATCATCCCCATGAGGAAGGAGAACCCCAGGGCCAGCATGGGGAGCATCAGGAACGTGACAGCAGAGACAGGAGAGCAGGGACACCCCCATCCTGGGGACAAACCTCCTGGAGGGTCCTTTCCTCGCTTTCTCCACCAGTAGTAGGTGATGACAAAGGCAACAGAGATGGTCAATGCCAACCCCAGGGACACAGCCACTGCCCACCATGGAACGATGCTGAAAGGCCCTGGGAAGGAAGGAAGGAGGAGAAGGGGAGAACTTTGATGGAGGGCAGAGCTTTGAGTTATTTCTAAACACATTTATCTTTCACCACCCACAGAGGACAGAGCTGACCAGGAAACCACAGTCCCAGTGACACCACCCATACTTGGCCACCACATTTCCACTCCCAGGAGGGGAAGTTGGGGATGTTCTGACATCAGCATGATGTCGCCTGTAGTTTCACTGCCCAGGCACGGAGCTGAAGGACCCCAAGAGAGGACTGGGAGGGGAGAAGCTTGAAGATCTCCTCAATCCTACTTTTCTGGAGCTGGGGGTGAATTACCTGGTGCCGCAGCACGGCACGGTGCCACCACGTCAGTGCTGGCTGTGCCCCAGCTCACTGGGTTGCTCACGTTGCAGTGACAGATGATGGGGTCAGTGTCCTCAGGGACCTGCAACTGCAGCCAGGGTTGGGGTTCCAGCGCTCCCAGGGGACTCCCAGTACAGGACCAGTTGTAGGAGACGTTGTTGGTGCTGGACACGGTGCAGAGCAGTGAGAGGTTGCACCATCCCTGCTCCCAGTGCAGGATGTGTGACTCCAGGCTCGGCTGGGTGATGGGATCTGTGGGGACAGAGATGGTGACAAGGGACAGGGGGACACGGTGATGGGGTGACAAGGACCTGGCTACTTGATACCATCCCAAAAGAACATCCCCTTCTGCTTAAAGAACATGAGGTTTGGATTAGATGTGAGGAAGAAATTCTTTGTTGTGAGGGTGGTGAGACAGTGTCCCAGGTTGGCCAGAGAAGCTGTGGCTGCTCCTCCCTGGAAGGGTTCAAGGCCAGGTTGGATGAAGCTTTGAGCAACCTGGTCTAGTGGAAGGTGTCCCTGCTGATGGCTCATGGAACTGGATGAGCTTGAAGGTCCCTTCCAACCCAAACCAGTCTGGGGTTCCATGGTTCTATCATTAAACAACGTGACGTTGACAGACAGTTCCACACCAGCTCAGCCTGGTCAAATTTATCATCTAAAATAGATAATGAGGAGACCTGAGACACCAAATCTTTGCAGTAGGGTAGATAAGGTGGAGATCCCAGAACAAACTAGTTTTGTGGAGACAGAAGTGTTGTGAACAGGCCAAGAGATGAACTGAACATGTGCAAAAGAAAAGTTCAACTCAAGGGCACGGTGACAAAAGTTTCAATGACCAGCAGAGGACTCTGGAAGACCACCAAGATCATGGAATCATTGACTGTTGTGAGTTGGACCCACCAGGATGATGGAGTCCAACTGCTGTCCCTGCACAGGACAATCCCAACATTCACACCATGTCCCTCAGGGCCTTGGCCAAATGCTGCTGGAATCTTGTCAGGCTTGGTGCCATGAGCACCTCCCTGGGGAGCCTGTTCCAGTGCTCCACCACCCTCTGCCTCAAGAACCGTCTCCTCATGGCCAACCTCACCCTCCCCTGCCACATCTTCCTGCCATTCCCTCTGCTCCTGGCATTCGTTGGTGGCCAGAGAGAAGAGATCAGCGCCTGCCCCTCCTCTGCCCCTTGGGAGGAAGTTCTAGACCTCAGTGATGACCAAAGAGCGTGCAAAAAAAAGGACATTTACATGTATTAATGAGTTCTTGGAAGTGTGATGAATATGTTAATGATTTCTTGGGTAAGTAATGAATATGCATGTGTTGATAGTATAAAGCTGTTGTCGAGGGAGGAGTTGGGATGCAGGATGGGTGGAGTGATCCCCTCTGCATCCAACATCTCAATAAAGAACGTTGCTTCCTCAGACTCCATGGGTGTGAAGAAGTTCATTCCCAATTTCGGTGCCATACTCACCCCACACCGACACCTGGAAACACAGGGTGGTAACAAAACCTGAGGTGTCCTCAAACTCTGCCCTGTAGACCCCGCTGTCGGTCACACTAACGGGGCTGATCTCCAAGGAGAGGGTCTCCAGCTGGAAAATGACTCTCCCAAAAAACCATCCCTTGGAGTAGGTGGTATTTTTATTCTTCTCAGCTGTCAGGATGCGGTTCTGGGATCCTGCAGCCAGTGTCACTCTCCATTCCATCTTCATCCACTCCTCTGGGGACTTCTCCAGCTGTAGCCTCAGCGTTCCCTTGGTAGACACGGCTTGTTCCCGGCACTCCAGGGATCCTAAAGTGGAGAATGGATGCGTGAGGAACCACAGGAGATGCTCCATGGCTGGGGAGGGGGCATGGCCTCTGGAACCCACCCATGCCACAAACCCACAGCTCCTCCTGCTCCCTGGGGATGAGCTCAGCCTGGTTCTCATCACCATCCTTGAGGTACCACCACCCCAGGCTGGTTGTGTGTCCATCCACACCCACTGCTCTGGCCACACGTTGCAGATGCTCATGCAACATCCTTTGCCCTGCCCAGAAGGTTGCACAGACCCTCTGACCACAGCATCTGATTGCTCATTTCATAGAATCATCGAATGGTTTGGGGTTGGAAGGGACCTTAAAGCTCATCCAGTTCCATGAGCCATCAGCAGGGACACCTTCCACTAGACCAGGTTGCTCAAAGCCTCATCCAGCCTGACCTTCAACACTTCCAGGGAGGGGGCAACTACAACTTCCTTGGGCAACCCAATTTGCACCCCAGCTCCTTCCTCACCCATCCAGTCTGAGGAACAGCAAGAATTTTGCCTGGTGGACCCTTTTCTCCTGAGCTTCTCTGCTCACCTCCCTCCTTTTAACGCAGCCCCGGATGTCAAAGGCTCTTGCAGAAGTGAGATAAAAAAGCTCTTAAAACAAACAAAGAACCAGGGCCGAGCTCATAGGAGCCTTGTGGCTTCCTCACAGCTGCCTGTGGTCATGGCAGCACCGGGGGGTGGACGTCCCACCACACAACCCCATCACCCACCTCACAGCCTTCAGCAAAGCCTGGCTTGCAGGGCCAGCAAGGCATTAGGAGCTTGGCTTAACCCATTCATCCCACTGCTCCCAGTAGGGCTTTGCCTCTGTACAACTGGTTCCAACACCAAGCTGTGCTTGGAGGACACATGTAGCTCCACCAGCTTTAGATCTCAAGCAGCTCCAGTTTAAACCTTGTCTTTGCAAAGTCACAGACATGAGGACACCTGTTCTCTCCTGAGATGCAGAGGGACCATCCCTACAACTCAGCAGGTCTGAAAACACAAGGAACCAAAGCAAGAAACATCCTTCTTGGAGAAGAGAAGAGAAGGTGCTGGCATTTATTTATCAATCCCCACCCTGATATCTCACACCTGGGACCTCATTATAAAAGGGACCCTTCCCACCACCCCACCAAAAAACTATAAAATAGGGTTTCTTGGTGCTTTGCAAGCACCTAGTCCTGTAAAAAACCAAGTGTGAAGGTATCTTGATGTCTTCAACCCAAGCTTCTAGAGCTGCCCTGGAGGGAAGATGCTGAGGGGGGAAAAAAAACTGATTCAAAAGTCTCCCCCAGAAGCTGGTGAGATGTAACCTGCTGCCCACAGCGAGCGCTGGGTTTGCAGCTCAGCTGAGCTAGTGGTTGGGGAAGGTTCTGCTGCTTGAAAGAAATGACACCTCCATCTTGTGCACCCCTGAGTGGTGAGTGAACCCCCCCACACACCCCCAGTACTGAGCCATCGGGGTGGGCAATGGGGATGGGAGATGTATCATAGGGTGGTGGGAAAGGGAAGGTGGTGGTGATGGTCTCCTGGGCTCCCTGAGAGCAGGGAGGGGTGGGATGATGATGGTTACAGAGATGTGGCCAGAACATGTTCCACCAACAAAGTCAGCCCCCAAACCTGGGTGTTTCTCCACTCCCCTCATGCAGAAGTGGCTGGTTTTAGGCAGAAGAACCTCAACCACCACCAACTCCACTGAAGTTATGGGGGAAAGCTGCTGTGTTTGATCAGTGGAGGGACTCGGCCTCCAAAAGTTGAGGTTCTGGTGTAGGAAAGTTCAGGGCTGGCCATGGGGTGTGGGTGCTGCTCCAGCAGGGAAGTGACTTGTTGGGACAAGCCCCATGTGCTGCAGGCAGTGACATGGCCCATGAAGGGGAATTGGTCACTGCCTGGGAGCTGGACCTGCTCCACCTGCTCCAGGCAGGTCCCAAAGTAGAGAACTGAGGAAAAACCAAAACCCCAACCCCACCCAGTCCTGCTCCATGTCCCCAGGACCCTGAGCCCAGCTCACTGCCCAGGACCCTGTGGCTGCCTCCGTGACATCGGCATGGCCAGCCTTCCCCTGGCACACAGCTCCTTGGGTGGGCAGGAGAAACACCTCCCCACCCATCCATCCTCCCCATCCATCCTGGATGCATCCTCCCTGTCCATCCATCCATCTTCCCCATCCTCCTTGTCCATCCCATCCTCTCAAACCATCCATCCTCTTCATCCGTTCATCCTCCCCGTCCATCCATCCATCCTCCCCATCCTCTCTGTCTGTCCATCTTCCTTGTCCATCCCATCCTCTCCATCCTTGTCTGTCCATCCCATCCATCCATGCTCTCCATCCATCCTCCTCATCCGTTCATCCTCCCTGTCCATCCATCCATCCATGCCATCCTCCCTGTCTGTCCATCTTCCTTGTCCAACCTATCCTCTCCATCCATCCTTCCCCATCCATCCATCCTTGTCTGTCCATCCCATCCTCTCCATCCGTCCATCCTCTCCATCCGTCCATCCTCTCCATCCGTCCATCCTCCCTGTCTGTCCATCCCATCCTCTCCATCCATCCATCCTTGTCTGTCCATGTCCATCCATCTTCATTGTCCATCCCATCCTCTCCATCCATCCTTGTCTGTCCATCCCATCCCACCCTCCTCATTGTCCATC